TATCCATGTCAATATTTTCGTTTGGGGTGAGGCGATTTGAACTGGGAACATGGGAAGCTCTCCCATAGCAGGTCAGAGCACTGGTTCTACTAGCCATGCCGTGTCCACAATGATTAGCAGCTGTTCTCCAAGGTTTCAGGCAGGAGTCCCTCCCAGCCCATCCTGGAGGTTGTATTTATTTAGTAATTCGTCATTAAATTGCCACCCCATCCTTCCTCCCAGAGGACCCCAAGATGGCAATGGGTGCAAGAAGCCAACTTCTTAAACTACAATTTGAAATTGGCTTGTTTCAATGAAGCATCATTAAAGTTAACCAACATTTGTTCGGGTTCAGATGACACGGCAAGCTGTTCTTCATCTACAAACCGTCTGAAGTAAATATTCTAACTGGTTTGCAGGGGTCTTTTTTTCCATTTCTGTGCCACATAGTCTCTGCGCATTGTTTTGTATTGTTCGTGATATCCACAACTTTGAGATAAGGCACAGGGCAAGAAAAGAGACAGGGCAAGAAAAGAGAAATCAGAACAGGCTCTCCACTAGCAACTTGAACCCAGCTTTAAAGTTTGCAAACCAGATATTATTTTAAGTCAAATACTGACTTCACTATCATTCTCACCTTCCCAACATATTTTAAGCAGCTTGAGTACCTTTTTATTTATAAAAGCAACATATGTACATTAATTTATCTAGATGTTCATCCCTTCTTTATTTTTATTTTTTTGATAAAATGAAAACTTCCCCCAAAATCCTTGCAAAACCTCTCCAGTGAGGTGGGTGGTAGCAGCTTGGTGGTGCCATGGGCACTAGTCAGATGTCCCTATCCTCATGTGCCCGTCCGTAAACTTGCATAACTGTTTACCACACATATCAACAAAGAGGAAAGAATTCTTGTAGTGAAGGGCTTCCAACTGGTTTCACTTCTCTAACATTGTTGCCTCTATCTTCATTCCAAGATAGAGTTGGGGTAGGAGTGTGGAAGGAAAATACGAAAAAAGGAGGAAAATATTTTTTTCCTGCTTCAGTCCAAAATACATATTGGTAGCTGCTTCCTTGGTTAGCAGAAAATACATATAGGACCCTTGTATTTATTCATTTTTGAAATCTCCTTTCTTATAAGTTTCTAAGGAACAGATGGCTAGCTAACCTTTGGGGATGTTTGAGGTCTTAGGAAGGGAGACTGAAGACTAGACCAATTCTGGCACATTCTTCTCCAGAGTATTCTTATAATTATTTGTTCCTGAGCAGTGATATCAGCAAGACCGTGACAAAGCAATTTAGGACACTTCCATTCTAATTTTATAGATGGCATACAGTGTCACACCTAGGCCACAGTCCATGTTGAAGGTGGAACTGATGCCAAATCAAAATTCAACTCTGTCCCTTCCCTGCTCTTAGGGTGACCCTAATGTAGATTTAACGTTAGGTATAAATCTTCAGAATGAATGAATAAAAAGGTGTAAATCTTCAGAATGAGTGAATAAAAAGGTATCTCAAGGGAATGCATTATAAGCAGTTTCAGTATTTCATTGACTTTAAATGTGGCATGCTTTCCTGACACTCAAATCGAGACGTTCTCACATGCAGTTGAGGATTGCCAGTACACAGTATGCACTGCCTCAGCAGGGAAGGCTCTGATTCTGATTCTATCAACTGGCATGGCTCATAGAGTGGCAGCCTGGAACAGGGCTTTCTTCGTGGTGGTGCCCTGACTCTGCAATTCCATCCCTGGGGAAGTGTGGTTGTCCCAAATGCTGCTCACAGTTAGATATCCATTTTGAATACAAAGTGGTTCCCGTGAGCTTTGAAGAGATAAATCCAAATTGAATCCAGAAGTGAAAATACAGTGTTGTTGTGTTTCACTATGACTTCTGTTCCATGGTTTTTAGAAGTTTAATTATTGTTGCAAACAGTAATGTTTTGGAACTCCTTTAGGAGGAAGGGTGGTAGATAAGCCCCCCAAAATACATAGACTCCTGCGATCTTTGAACTAGCCCCATTTATTTACATCTGTGTGCCTTGTACCTTCAGAAGTCTTCATACGCTGGCAAATGGAGCCCAAGAACCCAGAACCAGCTGCATTGTCTCTGCTGTTTATTTCCTGAATGGTTTCAATCCACCAATGCCTAGAATTATATTTTCTTCCCCAGCTGGAATATAATAAATGGAGATAATGCACTCAATTATGCAAACCAGCAGTACTTAGCCTCTCCTGGTATGCCCCGCAGAGGACCTTAAGGTCCATGAATAATCATAGTTTAGAGGTCTCGGGCCCTAAGGAAGTTAGATTATCCTCCACCAGGGCCAGGACCTTCTCAGTGATGGCTCCGACCTGGTGGAATGCTCTGTCCCATGAGACCAGGGCCTTGCAGGATTTAACTTCCTTCCGCAGGGCCTGTAAGACAGAGCTATTCCGCCTGGCTTTCAGCTTGAACTTAGCCTGATCTTTTATTCCCCTTCCTTCCCTCCCCACCTCCTTTTTATGAAGATTACCCGCTCTGGGATCCCACAGCTAATTCTCCCCTGGTCTCCACGCTGGCCCAAATAGGACTAATTTAGCCAGGTAGCCCTGGTGATCATCTAATGTTTATTGGATGGATTTCCCCCCTAAATAGATTTTGAATTTTGAATTTATTGTTAATCACGTTTTATACTGTATTTTATGCTGGTTTTTTTGTTGCATCAATTAAGCATTTTAAATTTGTTGTTAGCCGCCCTGAGCCTGGTTTTTTAACTGGGAAGGGTGCGGTATAAATAAAAATTTATTATTATTTATTATTAGGGTCAAGCTCCATTAAAGCCAAGCACTCCCTCTAAGGCTCTGTGGAGGAAGCATAGGAAGAGAGCTTATACTTAGCCAGAACATCTCTCCACTTAGTCTAAGGCTTCCTACTCTCCCTTGCAGACGATCTCAAGTCATAGGAACATAGGTAGTGGCCTTACACCAACCACCAAGGCAGAGCAACATTCCACCGATCGCAGTACATATGCAGGAATATGCAGCTGTCCCATACAGTGATTGAACCTGCAACCTAGGAATTATCAGCACCACGCTCCAACCAATCGAGCTCTCCAGCTCCATCAGCTGGAGCTGGAGACGGAGCTGATCAGGATTGAATCTGGGACCATCTGTCTGATGCTCTACCACTGAGCTATGGCCCTTCCCCAAGTCTTTCCCAGTCAATCCTTCTGACCCAAGGACGGAGAATCTGTAGCTCTCTAGTTGTTGATGGTCTACACCTCCATCCTCTCCGACCACTAGCCACGTTGGCTGGGGCCGATAGGTGTTAGAGTCCAGCAGTACCTGGTAGCCACTGGTTCCCCATGCTTGTGATTAAACGTGTGGCCTTTGTGGTACCCCAGGGCTATGGCATCTGCACAAGATGCAAGTTCTTGTTTTCAAATGGTGGGAGTCAGGTCAGATGTAGAGTGACTCTTCCCCAGGTTTGCTTTCATGCTAGCTTGTGCTTATAATGCAGGCAGTTGCGGCAACGCTATTCCACTGAGCATGTTGTTGGTTGGCTCCAGGAGCAAAGACGCTTCAGAACTATCTCTGCCAGGTCCCTGCACTGCCGCCCCGTACTCCATACAAACAAAAACAGAAGGCTCTTTTGCAGTCAAGCTCCCCTTTGTGCTGTGTATCTGATTCAAACCATACTTTTGCCAAGGTGGAATACTGAAAGCATTAAGAGTCCCACACCCATGGTACAAAAATTTAAGAATTGGTGGCCCTGAGGGGGTAAGAACATATGGGCTGAAAGATCTCAAATGGGCTTGGCTTCTTAAGTCCAGGCATGGGTCTCTTAATGAAAAGAGTTCCACTTCCAGAGATGAAGAAAATAATATGTGCAGTTCCCATGCACGCTTCCTGCATGGGGCCACTTTGCACATTTTGTATTTTAGATGTATACTTAACAGCACAATCCTGCGCACGCCTATTGAGAAATAAGCTCCCCTTATGCTCAGTGGGACTTAGCGCCATGTAAGGTAAAGGTAAAGGGACCCCTGACCATTAGGTCCAGTCATGACCGACTCTGGGGTTGTGGCGCTCATTTCGCTTTATCGGCCAAGGGAGCCAGCATACAGATTCCGGGTCATGTGGCCAGCACACGGAAACACTGTTTACCTTCCCGCCAGAGCGGTACTTGCACTTTGACATGCTTTCGAACTGCTAGGTTGGCAGAAGCAGGGACTGAGCAACGGGAGCTCACCCCGTTGCAGGGATTTGAACCGCCGACCTTCTGATCGGCAAGCCCTAGGCTCTGTGGTTTAACCCACAGCGCCACCCGCATCCCTTCACCGCCATGTAAGTTGTGTATAAAATCATAGGCTAAGATGTTTTAAGTATATATACTTAAGCATGTCATGTCCCACAACACTCATTTGACCAAGGACTTGTCCGCACTGGAGTTTACTATGTGTCCGCAGCTCTTTGCATTCCCGTTTAATTTGCGTGGTCCGTATGGCATTACCCTCAAACAACACCAGTATGCTTTGCCCCTGTAAATTCGAGTTTGCCTGATTCAGGGGTAGTCCAATAACTCATCATGACTAAGTTTAGCTTGATAGGGGGTGTAGGTATTTTGATGGGAGACTCTTAAGCATGTGCTTTATCCTCCAAATGAAATAAAAGGGACAGGGCTTAAAAATGCTTAAGGTTGACTGACTCATGTCCAGAATGAAGACCACTTCCCAGTCTTGCCTAAACCTTTCACAGGCACTGGCAGCTAATGTTCTAATTGCCAGACATTTTGGTGCCTCCCAGCAGTGAAAATATACATTCAATAATTAAATAACCTCTCCATTTGTGCCCTGCCAAGAATATCCTGTCTCAAATGGCCATTTCACTCTGCTAGTCCACTTTCTTACCAAAAGGTGAACACATAACAGGAAACGCCAATGGATTTCTGATAGATTCTGCCTGTGGCTCCTGTCCTACAGCTCTTGACTTAAATATCTCACCTGCACTTAGTTTCACTAGTTTCTTCAGGAATTTCAACGGGTTTGCCATAATGATTTAATTTTGTTTTAAAATCTGCATGAAGCAGTCCAGGCTGCTACTAATACTGCTAATGGACAAACCATCACTTTCTTCTTTGTTTGAAACAACAAACCTACAAAGCCCTAAACTTTAGATTTTACAGTAATGGGTTGACACTAGTTTGTATATGGCAAAAGCCACGATTCACAGTTTCTTATTCATATGGGTGTGTTGTTGTTCTTGTTTGTTGTTGTTGTTGTTGTTTATATCTGATTCGTCTCCTTTCACTTCACCTAAATATAGATAAGGCAAGATAGTGACAAAAACAAAACAAGGAGGCTTGCATCACCTTACAAATTAACACAGTTATTGCAGCATAAACTTTGTTGTGTTAGAGTCAACTGCATCAGATTCAACAAAACTGGATTAGAGAGCACTTCATCAGATGAAGGTTGTGATTCTTCTCTACAATGGGGGTCTGTTTGGTATTGATGGCGGTCCTGTTTAAATTAAGATATGATTTAATTAATAAATAGCAATTGGATGTTGTAAATACCACAGCTTCTCCGCGAACTTTTCTTGAGGTTGATAAGATTTCCTTTAAAAAAACAACACAGGAAATAGAATTTTTGATACTTTAGCATTTTTAAAGTACTTTAAGGTGTACACATATATCACTCTCTCTGTGTGTGTTGCATTAATTCTCTTGTTGCAAAGAAGGAGAAAGCACACAGAGGAAAGAACTGTTTGTGCAACCTGAAGTTTGCTTCCTGGTTTTTACCAGAGAGCTTTCCCCTTCCAATACATCAAGCTACTTTTAAAACAGCTTGTCTCTTTGGCAGTAGGACTCCTGCAGTAAAATCAGCAGGCAAAGCTTCTGCTGTGTAAGCTTCCCCCACCCCCTTCTTTGGATCAGGACTGCAACGTCCTGGGAGCAGGTCTGAAAACTGAGAAGAGATTCTGGAGCTGAGCCTCGCTCAGCTTTGGTTCATTGCATCCTCAAACCCAGCTTCCGAAGTCCATCCTTGAAGCTCATTAACGAAGGAGGGGAAATGATCTGTGCTCCTGCTGGAATGAATTGAAAACGAACTTTTCATTCCTACCTGTGTTCAGGTGAAAGAAACTGTAGTAAGCATCGCTGTTGCACAGATTGCCATGTTGGCTACCCCTGCCATAAATCACTGCCTCAGAACAGGTGTTTGAAAAGGATGTTCTGGTGAGGTTGCCATCTACTTGTAGGAATGTTTAGGAAGGTACAAGAGGATATACTAGTTATATATAATCCTTCCTTACTCGTGCTAGTGAGCATAAAGCAGAGCACATTCCTTCTAGACAAATAGGAAATTTATTGAGTAGCTGGTTTCAGCCTTTTAATTAGAGAAATCCAGGATGCCCTTTGTTCAGACTGGATTCTTCCCAGTAACTTCCCCTTTACAGTGGTACCTGGGGTTACAGAGGCTTCAGGTTACATACGCTTCAGGTTACAGACTCCGCTAACCCAGAAATAGTACCTCGGGTTAAGAACTTTGCTTCAGGATGAGAACAGAAATCGTGCTCCGGCGGCATGGCAGCAGCGGGAGGCCCCATTAGCTAAAGTTGTGCTTCAGGTTAAGAACAGTTTCAGGTTAAGAACGGACCTCCGGAATGAAATAAGTTCTTAACTGAGGTTAAGTGGTACCTCGGTTTCAGTTTTAGGTTAAGGACGGACCTCCGGAACGAATTAAGTACTTAACCTGAGGTACCACTGTATTTCCCACTTTGAGCCAGGAGCAAAAGCTGGTCAAAAGAGAGATCAAAAATAGCAAAATAATAATAATAATAATAATAATAATAATAATAATAATAATAAATAGAGATGGCTTTGTGCCCAGCCCTTTCATTTGGCTTTATTTGGGTCATGCCCATCTCCCTGGTCACACTCAGGGGGAGATGACTCCCAACAGGTAAGACAGGAAGTCCTCCCTGCTTGGAGCCACATTCTTCTGTGTGCCCATTCTAGCAAACAGGAAATGTTGGACTTGACTGCTCTATATATACACAACCTCCGTGATTGAACCGCTTGTGCAATAGACCAAAGCGGCCAAAGTTTTCCCCATTAATTCTGGGCGGTGTTCCTGCTGAATTATTGCCTGTCCCATAGCTGTTAAAACTCAGGGAAGCTCAGCCAAAATTAACAGGGGTGCCAACTTGAATAAAATATTTGGGGGTGCAGTTAATCGATCACATGATGCGGCACACACCATTTGAATGACAGTGCCCATCAACTCGGTGGAGGCAGCTCCCTCAAATATTTTATAGCCCCTAGGAGTTAGCTCCTATGCAAAATAATAATAATTTTTTAAAACCCTGCAACTCCAAGTCAGCCAAATCCTCCTTTCCAAACTCTTAAGAGACGATCGCGGAAACAAAATGTAGCTCAGCCCAGTTTGCCCAAGGATGCATTTTATTCTCTTATAACGCTGATGTCATGAATGGCAGGGCGGGGCGAGTTGGGCGTCGCCGAAGGAAGGCGATGAAAGCCAACCCAGCGCCTTGTCAGAAAGGAGAGAGGCGCCTCCGCGGAGCAGAAAGGCTCGCTGCCGCCGTTAGATGGCGCTCGAGACTTTGCAACCAGCCGTACAAAGCGATTCAATGTCAGAAACAAAACAAACCCCAAACCCAAAAAACGGTGGGGGAGAAAGAGATCTCTAAAGAAGGAGGAAACTACGCCGCGGTGAACGCCACATTTTATTTTTTAAAAGGAAGCTTACCTTGAGAAATGGGTCAAGAAGGTGATGAAGGAGAAGCGACTCAATTCTGAGTCTCTTTGCCTCAATTCTGCCGCACGTGGCAAACTTTCTGCTGAGATGCAGTCTCTGGCCAGGGTTGCAACTGCCGTGTGTGTGTGTGTGTGTGTGTGTGTGTCTGGGACTGCGCTCCGGCTTCAGGATACAAAAGCTGTGGCGCGGAGAGGTGGACTGGGCTCGCATCATGGGGAGAGATAGAAGTAGAAAGGGACTTGGCAGCACTGCACGAACCTCTTCCCTTTCATCTAGAAAGTTTCTGGGAAACCTGCTTTGCCGAACAGTCTTAACTCTCCAGAGCGTGAATGAGGGAGGGAACGAGAGCTGCACCGCACCCACTGAAAACTTTGCTAACGTTTCTGTTCCAAACGGCATTCCCTAAAGCGCACTTACTCCCAAGTAAGCCCCTGGCACGGATTGCAACGAGGCTTCCGTTTTGAGACCGCGGTTATTTAGTCCTAACGAGAGATTGGCCTCAGAGCAAAGGCCTCTGACCCGAGGCCACGCTGCCCTCTAACAACCCCATGACCTTGAGGACTACTGGCGGGGCTTATTTGCTGGCGGAAGGAAATGCACTCTGTTCATGCTCAGGCGCCACCTGTTTATTTACTTGGAAATAATTCAGAGCTGGAGTGAGCCATCCTGCGCGCACTGATCTTGGGGGGGGGGGGTGAGCCCCACTGAGCACTTCAGGATTTCCTTCCGAATACAGTGGTACCTCAGGTTACAGACGCTTCAGGTTACAGACTCCGCTAACCCAGAAATATTACCTCGGGTTAAGAACTTTGCTTCAGGATGAGAACAGAAATTGTGCTCCGACGGTGCAGCGGGAGCAGGAGGCCCCATTAGCTAAAGTGGTGCTTCGGGTTAAGAACAGTTTCAGGTTAAGACTGGACCCCCGGAACGAATTAAGTACTTAACCCGAGGTACCACTGTAAATGTGCAGCGCGCTCAGCTATAAGATCAGGTAGAATCGTAGAATGGTAGAGTTGGAAGGGACCCCGAAGGTTATCTGGCCCGACCCCCTGCGAGGCAGGAATCTTTTGTCCAACTTGGGGCTCGAACCCACGTCCATGAGATTAAGAGTTTCATGCTCTCCCAACTGAGCTATCCCGGAGAGTGGGGGGGTCTGTCCCGAGCACGTAGGATGCCTGCCCTTCACTTTTCAGACCTCCCTGTTGCTCTCTTTAGGTTGCGATCCTACAACCTCGCAGTCCTGTCTTGCAAGGGCAGGTGTCAGAGACCCTGTGCGCCCTGTATGCGAAGCCTCACGTCTGGCAAGCAGCGCCCATCCGCCTCCAACCCGGACTCCCAGCTTAACGCCGCAGATCCCGTTCCCACTGTCGGGACCGAGGTCGTGGAAAGACAAGGGCGGCCAGACTTCTTGGCTCTCGCCCTCCCTGTGCTGCGAGAGGCGTCTGGGTTCTCTCTGAGACCTGGAAAACCCAGGCGGCCTCTGCTTCTCGGAATGGCTCAGTTAGGAGCTCCGTTTTGTCTACACTGGCCGCCGGGACCGGCTCTTCAGAGTTTCAGGAAGGCTTGAACCCGGGAGCCACGGCTCTCATATTTTAGGAGAGGACTCGGGGGTCTGGGCCCCGGTTTGGAAGGAGGGTGGCAAAGCGCGCAAACAAATTCTGCCCGGGATCCTGGCCCTTCTAGTCCTCCAACTCTTGCCGTCGGGGCTTAGTTCGCCTTTTTAATGAGCAGGTTAGGCGTCAGTAAAGCTGCTCCTCGGGTTGATTCCGGGACTCTAACGCGCTGGAAAAGTCAGAGGAGGGAACCGTTCTCCGCGGGCTGTACGCGCTTTCCTGCGCTTGCACCCCGCGCTTGCACCCGGGGACTCTTGCTTGGGAAAAGGGTACAAGGCCAAGTCAAATCAGGGGAGCGGGAGAAAGGCCGAGGAGTGCGTGCGTGTCTGAATATGGGGCATAGCAGGTACTGTTATGTAGCAAGGAGCTTGAAACAAAGCTAGGAGCCAGCAAGATTGGATGGCCCTCTGTCATGGATGCTTTAGCTGAGATTCCTGCATTCCAGTGGGTTGGTCTAGATGACCGTTGGGTCCCTTCCAACTCTACAGTTCTATGATTTTAAGATGGCCCACCCCATCCTCTTTCTCCTTCCCCTCCCGTCGCATAGACACGCACTGAGTTTTTTCTCTGAATGGGTTCTGTTCGGTCTGGAGAGGAAACCGACTTGTGCGAAGTGTGGTCAGGGGAGGGGAGGGGGGTCTTCTAGTTTTGCCATCGGGGTTTTAACTGGATCCTGTCTCAACCCTGGCGAAAGGGGGAAAGGCTTCCGTTGAAGGCACCTTGAGTAATCAATAAGAAAGAGTGAGGGGGGTGTGTGTCTTAGTTTTGCCTTCAAGTGGGTCGGGTGCGCCAGAAAGAAGTTAGAGAGGTAAGCTGCAAACTCCGCGCCACACAATAATGCGAAGAGTACGTCATGCGCGCATCCAGCTCTCATGTGCGCAATATGGTCGTCCACGTCGGGCGTTAAGCAGAGCGGTTTCCCGTTTGCCGTCGAGGAGACCCATCCTGCCACAGCGTCTCGGCGGCTTTGGTCCCCTGTATCCCAAAACACCCGGCCACGGGTATGCTAGGAAGGAAGGGGCTGTGGTTCTCCTTTCCCTGAGGTCGGGAGGAGACCGTCGAAAGACAAAATAAGAATAAAATGGCGAGCACACGTTTGGTTGCACGCTCCCTCCTTGCCCCTGTAACTTCACACTCATAAACCTTTTGTGTGGAAGAGCGCACCCCCCCTCCTGATTTTAGCAGAACTTGCTCCTGGGGATCCAGCTATATGACACCATCAAGCAAGCACGTGACGTCATAACCCGTTGGCTTTTGATTGTGGCCTCGCAAAACTGGCAGTCCAGCCGGATAATCCCCGATGGGTTGTTACTGGAGAGAGAACTGGCACCCAGGCCAAAAATCGCTTAGGGGACTTTATGTGTGACTTTTGTGTTTGACACACCCGCATCCCTGACACTCCTAGGCCTCGCCAGATGACAGCGCTTGCCCTTCCGATCCCCTGAACCCCGTGGCGTCGGAATCCCCGTTGACCGGAGCTGGGTTAGTCCGGGGAAGTGTGCGTCCTCCCAGGCCGGCCGCCTTTCTCTCCGCCAGGAGGCCCCTGGAGGATGACGAGGGCGTTCCCCCGGCCCTGGGCGGCTCTCGGGTTACCGAAGGGCGTGACCCTCGGCTGGCTGGGGAGCAGCGTCTGGCCGAGCGACTATAACCTTGGAGAGAGCCATTGGGTCGAAGCAGCTGCCGGAAGCTCAGATCCCTCTCTCTCCCTCTGTGTGTGTGTGTGTTTGGCCTTTTTGGACCAATGTGGGCCACAGCTGGACGCCGGACCCTTTGGAGGAGGAGGAAGGGGTGGGTCGGTGGGGAAGGATGGAGAGGTTCTGACCCGCCCCTGGAAACCTCGGTAGTGGAGCCGCGTAAGTCTTCTTTTTGGAGTCCTTTTTTTGGAGCGCTCCCCCCTATAAGCCCGCTCTCATCTCTCTTTGGGTTTGAGCAATGGGTGTGAGCTTAAGGTGAGTGACGCGGATGGAGCTCCAGGGAGCGAGCGGCACAAGCTGCTGGGCAGATCCATCGGGCTGGAGGTCGCCCACGGCGCGCCTCTGCGCCCCTGGCGTGCCATGGAGGCGTCCTCGGCGCGGCCGGGTAGATCCTTTGGTCAGGGTTTCATCTCTTTAGCAACAAGGCTGGCTTGGAAATGGCCTAAAATCCAGGAGAGCGGCGGGGTGGTGTGTGGGGAGATCCTAAGGGAAGGCAAAGAGGCGGAGGGCGGGGATGAGATGGGAAAGTTGAGCGAGTTTGGACTCCCAGCTTTGTGGACGGATCCCAGGGCGCCGGGGGGGGGGGTGTCAGGCTTTAAAGGAGGGCTTTGAAAACTGTGCAAGGGAGGAAGGAGGGAGAACCATGCAAGAGGGTGCTGCTGGGAGAGCCTGAGGTGTGTGGAGGGGGGGACTGTGTTGGAGAGCGTCGAGGCGAAGGCCAAACTTTTCGCTCAGAAGGCTGGCAATGATGGAGGCGAGGGAAGTCTCAGGCAGCAGAATGAGAGAGGGCAGCGGGTGACAGAGTCTCGCTTCGGTTTCACCTACATTTATCTATCCATTCTGTACACATTCACTCACACGCACTCATGCTCAAGTCATTAAACACGGCAAGACCCTGCAAGCACCTTCCGTGGACGTGAGAGGCCCCACTGCAAGGAGTGTCCCTTACTTCCAAGTAATGGGAGCCAGGAGACCTGCGCATTCTTGCGCACAGCTGTTAAAACGAAACCAATACTATGCCGGACATCTGAAAGCAAGGAAAGAAAAGAAAATCCAGGCGATTGAATAAACAAGGGCCGCCATGGGACTTGTGGCTGGTTTGGGAAAGGGATTCGTTTGACGCGATTGAAACGACCCACCGCACACTTCTTTGGAAAGCCAGCTCCTCATCCACGGAAATCAAGTGGGTTTGCTTCCAAGTGGAATCAGAGAGTGCAAAAGTGGGGGGGGGGTTTGGGGGGGAGTGTGGGGGAGATGAGGTACTGAGCGTTTGATCTTCCCACCTCAGGCCAGGCACATTCTACCTGCCCTGTCCCCCGTGGGACGGCTGCCATATACTGTAGAAACGACATGCGGGCGACTCCCTATAGAAAGTGTCCGCCCCCTTCTCCGGACCTCTTTCGACCAGGTATTTAGATGGTGTAGCTGGTCCTAATAAAAGCCCCCTCTGTGTTTTGGAGAGACTTCAAAAGACGTAGAAGTAAATCATTAAGCGCGCCGTCCTGTTCAACCTTCCCTTGTCGCTTCGGCCAAATTTCTCTTGGCTGGGGGAGGAGAATTACACTCTATAACAAGCTTCACACTTGAAAATGTTTTGATACTATATGCAGCCAGCGATTTCTTTTTCAGTTAAGGAAAAAAGAAGGTTCCTGTAAAAATAAACCCCTTCTTTTGGGAGGGAGAGGGAGAAAGAAAGAGACCGGCCAGGCCAAGAAGGCTATTGACAAAACATTATTATCAGATGTGGCCGGAGTTCAGTGGAACTTGGAAAGGAGATCGTTCCCAATTGCCCTGAGCGCTACGATATTTTGGGGGTGGGGGCGGGCGGGCGGGCAGGAGAGACAGAGAGCTGCCACATACAACCCATCCAGTGTTCTTCTCAAAAAGGCATGTTCTTATTCTTTAGGAAGCAAGGCATGGTCTCTTCGTGACTGGGAGTGGGGTGACTTGTTTACGCGGCAGAAAGCGTCCCTGATTTAAACAGGATTACTTCTCCTGCAAATGCGCGTGGGGAGCGCAACCTTTCGGCACCATCTTGTGATGGATATGGAATCCAATGGGACATGCTTTCACCCTAAGTAGGCTTAGGGATGCAAGCTAACAGCGCGACCTTTTGCACATTTACGCGGAAGTAAGTCCCACTGGGCTCAATGGGGCTTAGTTCATAGGATGGCGGGAGGGTCTGCAGCCTATAGGCAGCGCTCCTAAATGGCGCTAGTGCCAGGAGCGTGACAGTCAAGTCAAACTTTGCCACAGCACAACGTACTACCTGGAGGTTTCTTCTTCAGTGCTTTGAAAAGCAAGCGGGAGCCAGTGAAGGTGGGAGCAGAGCAAGTAACAGCTGAGAGGGTTAGATGAGAAGCTTGTGGATGACGCGCAACCCGATCCTATGCCTGCTTCTAAAGCAAGTCCCACGAGTTCAGTGGGGATTGCTTCCAAGAAACGTGTGCGCTTGCAGTCTGCTTTTAAAAAACAAAACAAAACAACAAAAAACAAAATTAAACTCGTTCAAAATTATTATTTTTTTCCAAAAAATCTTTTATTTTTCTTCAATGCAGGGGTCATTTGTATGATTGTTCAGACCAACAAGCACTTCATCCGAGACGCAAAGATTCAAGGAGAAGAGGGGAAATTGCCATCCCTCTGAGGAAAACTGAGAAATACGTGCACGCCCAAACGAAGATGGAAAGTCTAAGGGAGGGGAATCAGAAGACTTGGCCCGGCGAAGAAATGGACAAGGCGGGAGTCCAGGGCCGCCCCCTTCCCCTAGATCCGTCTTTAGCAGTTGGCCTGATAGCTAGATAAGTGGGAGACCCCCATCTCCTTTAGAAAGTCGAAGCCAAACTGTGGGCTGTCTTATAACTAGAGCAGTCAAGTACAACATTTTCCTGTTTCCTAGAATGGACACACGGAGGAATGTGGCTCCAGACAGGGAAGACTTCCTGTCACACCTGCTTTGGAGCTTCCTCCCCCTGTGTGTGACCAGGTAGAGAGGCGCGACCCTAGCTGACCAGATAAAAGGGCAACCATCTCTTGAACTCTTACTTTCTTACTCTTGGACTCTCTCTGTCCTGGCTCGTAGCTAGCGCATGGCTCAACCTTCACATAGGATGGAGCCCACAAGCAGAAAGTCTGAGATGCAGCTCAGACTTCTTTTCACTGTAACCACAACACAAAAGCCTGCCTTCAGACTACTGCTGTGAACTGAATGTGAGTAAAACTTTATCCTTACTTTTAAAGAAGACTGTGTTGTGTTTTTATTATTATTTTAAGAGGGACATAAAGGGGAAACCTTACCAGGAACAATCCAGACTGGGCAATCCAGACTGGATTGCTTCATTAAATGATTCTAACGAAGCATCAACTTGCTTCCAATAAGTTGCAAAGGGAATGTCTTCTGCTGTTCATTCACTAGCGTGAGTGAGGAGGGATAATATCAAAACAATATATCCTTTCCGACCTTCCTTAACATTCCCACACAAACTATGGTCGCTTTCCATGGAGCTGGGTGGCACAATGATCAGAGGAGCTAAACTGGTGGCTGTAACAGAGAGAGGGCAGAAAAGGAGCATGATTGTGGTGTGGCAGGAGGGTGGGAGGGCGAGAAAAGTTGGGAAGCCGAAACCTTTCTTTTGCTCCCTGAAGTCCATTGGTGGTGCATGATATAATTCTTCATTAAACTGAACTGAGAGATTATAACCTCCCCATTCCAGGCCCCTCGATGATTCTAGGCTACATATTAGGAAACCTCCTTTCTCCCTCTTTTTTTTTGGACAGAGAAATGATGATCAGGAAATCTGCGGAATGAACTAATCAAGAAAACAAAAGAAGTTATTCCAAGCGAGGACAAGTTCCTGGCAGCGCAGCTTTTTCTGGTGTTGGAGTTGCCGAACATCCTTAATCACACACACGAGTTATCTCCCGACGAGGCTTTGCTATAACCATTTGTCATGCTGGCAATAGAGTAGTGGCCAAAACTGGAATAATAATAATAATAATAATAATAATAATAATAATAATAATAATAATAATAATAAACTAGAATTTGCCCTGCTCGGGCGCAGACTTGTGGCTGGCGCGCGAGGCGTCCTGTGGGCGTGCAGACAACCGGCGGGGGGAATTGATTTCGGATCACAGCTCATCGGAAGTCAAAGGGCGCTCGCGAAACGCTCCTGTCGTTTGATCTACAACCCAAATCCCTGCCTAGCAACTGCAATCACATCTTTCTAACCCCCATCGCAACCCCGGCTTCCGTTTCCTCTTTGGTTAGTTGTGTTGGTTCGCCTCCTGTCGTCTCACAAAGGAGGACTCCACAGCTCTGGAATCTTCTCCTCCAGGAACAGTCAGTGGTTAGGAAGAGCATCAAGGCAGAAGCCAACCATTTCCTCGCTTGAAATTTCGCGAGAAGGTGCCCACAGGTCAGAGCTGAGGACTCGTTCTTCTACAGGGCTCTGCAGAATTGTGGTCTTCCTGCCCTCATGTGCAAGAAGATCAGGAGGCGATCCCTGGAGAGAAACCACCAGAGCTCCTGGCACATCCCAGCCAGTCAATAGCCAGATTCCTCACGTTTCATTGGACAATCTGGCAGACATGGGCTTTGGGCTGAACCCATTACAGAAATAGGGGGATCCATGCAGGGATTTTCAGGAGCTGCCCAATCTACAGGAGTCTAATAGAGTGAGCAGACCATACCAGGGTCGCTGCCCATAAACAGGCCCACCCTGGAAGGAGTCTCGGGATTGGACTAGGATGGAGAGAAAACGGGACGGAGGGCAGGAAACATAAGAACCACTATTACTGAATGCCTGACCTAAGTCTCCTTGGATCGATTGAGTGGGACTTATTTCCAAGTCATATGGGGAATATATAAGCCTCATTGAACAGCCTAGCAGGAAGTTTCATTGAGTTCAGACGGGACTTACTCCTAGGTGAGTTGACCTCAGATTGCAGCCTTTCCAGAGTTTGACTGAAAGGACTTACCCACGAGTAGACGTGTACATTTGAAGGTGCCATCACAAGCAGCGTGGTGCTTAATTGTGGCTTCCATTCTTCACAGCTGCTTTCCGCTTTCCCTCTCCAGACATCCGAGCGATTTCTCTTCAAGGGAAACGCCCCCCGCCCGTGTTTTTATGAGACAGCAGGACAGATCTCCCCACCCAAAGATACACACCTTCTTTCCTCCTTAGCAGAGTTAGACGCGTAATAATGCCGCGATCCTCAAGTCTGGAAGATGACCAGTTGCGGAGAAACCTATGGGCCCGTCAGCCCGAAACGGGAAAGTCGAAGACTAATATCCAAACCACACTTAGCTCTGGGGAGAACCCCTTTCCCCTAGAAATACAGTCGTTCGGTCCCAGCATGTGTCCTTAACCTCAAGCCTCTGATAAATAAAGATCTAGAAAGAGGGGGAACCCCAGGAAGGCTACGCTCTGTATTAACTCCTTCCTGTATGCAAGCCCGATTCCCTATTTATGTGTGTGGCTTGCTTTGTGCCCTAAGTTGTAGACCCTTGGCTACTGAGGATGCTGGTTCCTTGTGGGGGCTCTAAGACATTACCCTCGCGCCACCGCCAGGCTCTCAGTCAATTCCACCGCTCTCCATCCTGCCTAGGAGTCTCCATCCTCCATCCAATCCACGGTTTCTCTCTCAACCACTTTGCAAAACGGGTTAATGTCGCAATAAATGTGTTGGTCGTTACTGCGCTACAGTACAAGGTTGTGTTTGTGGGTTGTTTTTTTTTAGTGTTGTTTGTTTTTTGCTACCCTGCCTTTCTGGAAATTGCTTTCCTCCTCCTCCTCCTCCTCGGGACAGGGCTTGCTACCCAAAGACAGAAAAGCTTGCTGCGCAGCACGGAGAGAGAGGGGGGGGGATTGTCGCTGGAAGCTGGCAAAATTGGGAGGGATTGTGCTGGGGTTACGACTGCTGCTGCTGCTCTCTTAAGGACACATCCCCGTAAGGAAACACAGGTCAGTCACGGTTCAAAGCTAGGCAAGCAAAGTGGCAGGGATTGTTTCCAGAGGTTGCGCTCCCCAGGGTTAGGCTTTACCAGCCAAGGGACACGGACACACCCACAGGTCCGACACTTGCAGAGGTCAGCACTGACCTCTGTCGGCACCCCTCGTCTCCAACCTGAAGCTCAGAATCATTCATCCTGAGTCCCGAAGACACCCGGCGTTACGCCCCCGAATATGCATGACACTTTTTCTTTTTTTTTAAGAGAAACAAGAGGGATGAAGCGGCAAAATATAAACCTGGCTCCAATGACCTGCCTCCCAAGTCATCAAAACAGTCTACTTTGCAGCCCAGCTCAACGCCTGTTTACTCAGAAGAGAGTTCAGGCGATTGCAAAGACACAATCACAATACAGTGGTACCTCGGGTTACAGACGCTTCAGGTGACAGGCGCTTCAGGTTACAGACTCCGCTAATCCAGAAATAGTGCTTCAGGTGAAGAACTTTGCTTCAGGATGAGAACAGAAATCGCACGGCGGCGGCAGCGGGAGGCCCCATTAGCCTGGTACCTCAGGTTAAGAACAGTTTCAGGTTAAGTACGGAGCTCCGGAACGAATTAAGTACTTAACCCGAGGTACCACTGTAAGGCAAAAGTGCTGAGATGAAGGGGGGGGCAGGACTATTGATTAATTTACTTGCTTCCTCCCTTCCCGCTACTCAGAACATTTCAACTCTCCTCAGTCCAGTTCTTCGATATCTCCAATTGATGACGACGACAACAACAACAACAACAACAACAACAACAACAACAACAACAACAACAACAGTACGTTTCATAGGAAAGCCTGTAACTCTAGACTGTTACAGATATTTATAGACTGAAAAAAGTGTGAAGTGCATATATGGATCTCTCCCACGCCAGTCACCCACCACATCAGCATACATTCGTCACTATAGGTAAGTGGTGACCCACGGAGCACAAAGGAGGGGTAGCTGGGAGCAAGCAGGCAAAGACGCGGGAAGTCTGAGATGGTGGGGCAGCAGGAGGCCCAGCAGATATCTTGGAAAGATTTACATTTCATGTTGGGTTCGGCTACCCATTAGAGCGGGTGACCTGGAGGATCTCTGCCTGTAAAGTCAGAGGCCATGGATCAAACTGGGGCTTACTCTCAGGTGAACGTGCAGAAGAGTCGTGTCTCCTGGCCTGCTTGTTTGAAAGAATTCTCAACAAAGGCGCTCCCTCCTCTTTCTAATTTTGTGGGGACATTCCTCGCTGGGTTTAGGGGCCAATTTTCGTTTATTGATTTAATGGCCTTCATAAGAGTTCTGAATACTAGCAAGATAGAAAGGCAAATGCATCGAAGGAGAGTTTACTAAACACACTCACACAAACTCCGATTTGATGAAGTGGGATCTAGTCTGCGGAAGCTTAGGCCACAATAAAAGGTGCTCCGCTTTAAGGTACCACAAAACTCTTTGCTGCAACGACGGCGACAACAGCAGCAGCAGCAGCAGCAGCAACAAAACTTAAAAAGCTGAACACTGGGACTGTCTGGAATCCGAGTCTAAACACTGTTGGGAAACTAACCCTCTTTAAATCAGCCTGGGTGGATTCTAGAGTCCGGGCCCATAAACCCCAATGGGAATGTGGAATGATAGGACATGGATTCTAATCATCGGCAGTCCGCCGGGAAGATCTCCGACTCACATCTCCCAGAAATACCTTGGGTGTTGTGGTGGCAAATGCGCCGGCGGTGGCAACTTCCCCTGCAGGTCAGGGAGCCTTGCGCGCGAGAACTATATATTCTATGTACATATCTATCGCCCACACAGGAGGGTTTATGGCGTCCCCGCGTCTCTAGCTCCCTTGGCAAGCTTTGATCCACACAACTCAAGAGGGGCTTGAAACAATGGGATTAAACGCTGCCTTCAACTTTTCTTCACAAACGGCCTCCTAGAGAGAAGCGCTCAGCTTGATGCAGCTGAAACTTTCCAGGTGAGGACCCCCCTCACTTTTTTTTCTTTCCCCTCCACCTCTCTTTTTCTTTTCATGCCTCCGCCTTCTCTCTAGCTCGACGTGAAGCTCGGAGCTCCTGAGCAAACACTCAACTGTTCTCCGCTGGGTTGGAGGAAGGAGGTCTGTGGAACCGCTGGCAGCAGCAGCCCCGGCAGCCAGGCTTTCCAGAACGAATAACAAAAAGGTTACTGTACATAGAAACGTGCTGTCAGTCCGAGAGCCTCAAGTTGTTTGAATGTTGGTTTGGGGGACGTAAATATAGCAGCTCTGCGGTTCCCTCCCGCTCCTCTCTCTGCTTCCCCTCTTTAAATAATTCCATTTCAATTGGAAAAGGTTAGCCCTAGACACGAGGTACAATAATATTTCCCCCCCCAACAAAAAAATCCTTAAGTTCTCTCCTATATATTTTTTAAGCATTACCTTATCCCTTACTTATCGTTTATGGAAATAATGCTTCTCCCCATTGCGCCCCCCCCCGCGCCCTTTTCCTAAAGGGGCATGTAATTCTGCGGGTGAACTTTGGCTGGACTTTCCTTTTGCATCCCACACAGGGAACAGCCGTGGGTTCCCCGGGCTTGCAGATGAGCCGAGTACTTAAGGTGAGCAAAAAAATTATATAAATATGCCACAGAGAAACTGTGTGCTTTCTTGACCGGACTTGCATCTAGGGAGCTGGTTTCCAAGCGCAGTCCTTTTTCAAGCTGCTGCATGAGAGGGTGGAGTGAAAGAACTCTTTAAAAATAAATTAAAAACGCGATGAAATGAAATCGAGGGAAGGAAGCGCGCTCAGGTCTCACGAAGGGCGCCGTCCTGAGACTCCAGAACCTCGTTTCACAGCGCAGGGAACCTTTTTGTGCATAAATCATCCCACACCACCCAGACCTGTGCATTTGGCAGCCGAAACTTTCCAAGCACACTTAAGAAAAACATCCCACTGTGGTCTAAGACTGTAACCTCTGCTCGTCATTTAGCAGCTTAAAGATCACTACTTTTTATTTATTTTTATTTTATTTTATCAGAGTGCAGAACTGAGGCCCAAGTCTACGGCAACAGAAACAGCTCTTTTCCTCCAACACTTGCTTCAGATCTCAGCTGTTTTATATACACATCCAGAGAGGGACTAGTGCAATTTAGGACAACGGCGGTGGGGAGAATCTGGTCGCAATCCTACCAGGCGCTTACTGAGGCGCGTGTGAAGGATTGGCGCTGATGCAAAGTTTCTGAGAACTCTGGACATCTAACTGCAGACTCAAACACTGGGATGTGGGGATGGTGGTGGAGAGAAGTGGATTATGGGTTTACACATCAATTCTAAACGCTTGGGAGTTAGACCCCCCCCACGCCCACCCCACTCAGTTGTGGCTCGTTCCTCCCAAGCAATCTGTTCTAAGATTAAAATCAGTTAAACCTCGGGCGGAGTTCTCTCAAACTGCATCCCGGATTGTAACTCTGCTCATGGGCATAGCTAAGCGGGGGGGGGGGGTGCAAGGAGGGGCAGCTGCCCCCTTAAATAAATATAAATAAAGAAAAATACATAGCTAACTGAGGTTCTGCCCCCCCCCCCACAAGAGGCCTGCCCCTCCCAACAAAAATCCTGGCTACGCCCGTGACTCTGCTGTATATTCTTCTCTGGTCCTACAGTCTCAAAAGGGTGGTAAAATTATCTTGGCTTTAAAGAGTCAGCCCTTCATTCCCAACGCATGCTTTCTCCTAAGGGACTCCACATATGTCAGGCCAGGGAGTCTTTCCCAGTCCTAACTGGAGACGCCAGGGATTGGATCTGGGATCTTCTGCACGCAAAAGGATTTCCCAGAGCAGCGGCCTTTCCTTTCATTGCCGCCAAGCTCATTTTCTGTTCCTCCAGCGTAGAGAGAGGAAGGGACGAACGCACATCTCTCCTCAGTACGGTAGAACTACTGATAACGTTCCTAAAATCAGGCATCCCCAAACTCGGCCCTCCAGCTTTTTTAGGGACTACAACTCCCATCATCCCTGACCACTGGTCCTGTTAGCTAGGGATGATGGGAGTTGTAGTCCCAAAACAGCTGGAGGGCCGAGTTTGCGGATGCTTGCTAAAACTCATCCATTTTCCTCCTGTTTTTATGACAGCCTGTGCCAGAAGGAAATGGGCAACTGCTGGTTTTCTTTTAACCTGTGTTAGCCCAAGGACCTACCCTCTGTATGGACCCATCCGGATGGGTTGAAAAGCCGTTATAAAAGAATACTGAGCTAGAAGTAGGTTAATTACCTGCGAGGGAAAGTCGAGCTCTTTGCAAGGGAGGGACTCAAGTTTACAACCCCACCCCTCGCTGGCGTAAAAGTTGAAAGCAGTTGTCTCTCTCTCTCTAAAAGGGCAGAGAAAATGAGCCCAGAGCTTTTAAACAAAGTTGTACACATTGATACGAATGGAAAAAGAAATGGCAAGGCAGATTGTCAACTACGCATTCGATGAAAAACAACCGAACCATTGCAAGGAATAACTGAAAGGAGCGCGTCGTCAGTGATGCTTAAAACTAAAAAACTAAAACTAAAAATAAAAATCTCGGAGTTGGGAGGAAATCCCACCACACTTTAAAGCTTTTGTGCATTTGGGGGCTGCTGCAGTCCATCCCACAAGCCTTTGTAGGTGTGCAAAGACTCTTGCTTTCTTCAGTGAATCCTACACAACTGTTACAGGATCCCTGTATGTCCAAATATTCTACCGATTTCTGATATTAGGGAGAGAGAAACGGGGTGGAAGTGGTG